GAAAAGTATCGGTACTCATACTCGTCTGATTATACATTTTTGCAGTTTTGTTTTTAATATCATTTGGTCGCCGGCACAAGTGTGATAGTAAACATACATAAAAAATGTATCCTGATGATTCATGCTGGTTTAACAAGGCAATTGTAAGATCTTTAAAGTGCAGCGACCCATTGCACCTATCAGAAATCATCTGTAAACTGATTGGCTGTGTCTATCTGAGCAGCACATTACAGTTTTGCTATGGACCCTATTATTTTTCAAAATGTATAAAATCTGTTTTACTCATTTATTTTTGATGTTATAGTTATATTACCACTCTGATGCTTTGTTAATCTCTGTCTACAAAGTACACAGTTGTGTTTTTCATGATTTATTCATTTGTATAAAAGCAGGAAGATATATCCTAACATAGAAGGACTTTATTGTATCCAGAAGTAATGGACTTCACACATGGTTATGTAGATTAAGAGGGAGTTATACATCACTTGTGAGATTCAACACAGGATTTTCTATATGTACACATTTTATGAGATGTACTAGCACGGTTTTTTTTTTTTTTTTACTATCATCAGCACAGGCATTGTGCAACACAGGTGTTGTGTATGGCACAAATTTGCATATCCCTTTGTGACAATTTCACATTTTATACTATTTTTTTCACATTTTAGGAATATAATTTTCGAGTTTGAAGCGCAGTGCTATTTTCTTTTTTCCTAAATACAAATCCATGTATCCAAGGGATAGTCTGTAATATCTCTATTGGTATTCCTTTAGGGGTCCCAAGAAAATTAGAAAAGTGTTTTCTTTTGGGCATATTTATTAAAATATTGGATAGAGCAAAGTGTGGTATTCAAACACAGCAGTCAGAATGCATCTCATTCAGCTCTGAAGTCAGTGAATTTTGGTTATGCTGCATGCTGCTATTTGCGCAATTTATTTGATATGCCTATTTACTGTTCAGTACAAGCTAGAAAACCTAAAATCACAACATTCATTTGCAATAGGGATACTACATTCCCCAGCAATCTGTCTTTCATGCTTATGAATAATGGAGACCAGCACTTAGACAGTATAACATGGCTTCAATAATCAACTTAAACTTCATGTAAGCACTCTGCAAATCAGAAAATTAACAGGATGCATGATTTACTAAAGCTTATGCACATATGCCTGAGCATATGATTGTGTGGAGGTACTTACTTCATATTCTCTGAGTATTTAACATGTACACATGATGCACACAAACCACTGTGTACCGTTTTACATTTACAATGTGAGTAAGAAGAGTGTTTTGCTATAAAGTGTATACTACAAACAAAATGCCAGCTAAGGGATAGCGAGCATAAAATAAAATTGAGATCTATATCTCAGCTCAGTAGAAAACTCCATATACTGAGATTATTAAAGGTGACTGTAAAAAGATGTACAAAAACATGTGCAGATTTGCAAGCAGTGGCCACTACTTGCGAGCATACAAGGTTTTATATGTTGCTGTTTGGAATAGAAATTCCAATGTTTATTACCTGTGCATTACCTGTGCATAGAGTACACTGCATTTTTTGCTATGTTCTTCTTTTTTTTTTTCTTGGCACATGGCCATTCATTGCAAACGTATCACATTTGTTTTTTTAGAAGACACAGCAGCATTGTTTGATTGTTCAATGTACATGGTGAATTAAGACAATATAGTGTACACTAAATATTAGTGTGCACCTTCCTAGATAGGTTTAGAGATCATGTTTTGTGATGTGCGTGCACATTTGCATGATCAAGCCTGCAATGTAAATGTACCCTAGCAATTTTTCACTAGTCCTTTACATTTATAGTAGTAAATCAAGTCTATTGCATTCTAGTACATATCCCTTTCTGGCTTATATTTCAAACACCTTTGAACATACACTATGCACATATATATTAATGGTAGAAACTCTAAAAATGTAAAGAGGGTAGATGAGCCTCCTACTGGTCTGTTACACAGTTGCAATCAAAAGTTTGCAAACCCTTTCCAGGATTTCTTGGCAGCTTGATCTGTTCTTTAATTACTACCGAACGTCATAATAATGCAAAGAGACAAACTGTAGACTGTCTTTAAAACACATAATTGATCACATAACTTATGCAGAATTCCAGAAAAACCTTTAAAAGTTCACAAAGTTTTCATACAACAGTTTTTCTTGGGGAATCAGTATTATAACTTCACTTGCACATCCCTGTTAGATATTTTATTTATATTGTATTCACACTGGTTTCAATATACAGGGGTTGCAGTTTAAGTTTTAAAATTACACAGAAATGTTGATAGGTTGCTGAGGGCAGTAAGAAATGTTACTGTTAGGACTGATGTATGAAGCGTGTGCTAATAAGACATATTTGATGTGTGTTAAACTGGTAGTAAAAGGTCTCAGGGCAGAGTTTTGCCTTCTTTAGACAGCAGATCTGGCTATCCAGTAGTGGCATCAATTAATCCTTGTGTCTGCTGCCCTCCACTGGCAATTCCGCCCACCACTAATACAACTCTGTAGTAAAATTCAGGTTAAAAAAAACTAAATGCAGTGTTGCATACATTGCTCCATAAAGTGTCAGAATTTACTGGTCACTTTATGATCCTCCTCTGCCACTGCCTGTGGAGCCTCCAAAGATCCATGCTGACTTTCTGAAAGTCAGCATTTGATGAGGAGCCAATGGTGAGGGCATTGTGTGTCTCCACTCTCCAGAAGTGGGGATTTTACCAAGGGTTCAGGCAGATCTTTGAGGATTAAAACAATTCTGGACATGCATTCTAGCAACTTATATTGTACAATATGCTGGCTTGCAGTAGGCCAGTTTAGTAACCCATATGTGCATAGCATTTCCTTCAACTCTGGGCTCATGGTTGCAACAGCGAGTGATACCCTGTATTTTAGCCAATTTGTGAATTGTTGTGATCAGTGGCTGACAAGCTATTGATCACACACATACACAAAAAATATTCAGATAAAGAAAAAAGCTAAAATATAAACATAGAATAGTAATAGTATTACCCCCTTCCCCCACCACACAAACACACATTACACAAACACACACATAAAATACACATAGTGCACTACACAAATTACATATCCATGCACACTTTACGGTTTAAAAATATCAGACTTCTTAGGCTATCCTCACATTTATGGATTGTGATGCACTATTGCACATATGATAACATACATTGTGTTAACATGCAGTGTTACTTTGAATAGGTTGCCAATACATCACAACCAACACACATAAAAATGCACTTTTAATGCAGTGCACCTCAACGCACGGTATGTGTTTTGTCATATGCTGCATTGTGGGCGCATATAGTACATAAGATGCCATTTACTATGAATGGCACCACCACACACTGCACTTGGCAAAACCCCCTCTATATATCTTAAATGTATTGCAGTACATCACTGCACCTTTTAAAAAAATAGTTGTCATTTTGCACATTTAGGCTCCCCAATCCACTCATACTTTGTTACAGTGATCCCCCACCATGCTTGCCTCTGGCTTAGTCAGCACTACATATCCGATGCTTTCAAGTATAGAAGAGAATCTAACCTTCTCCAATGTGACAGTGCTTGTATCAGTGGCCAATGACTAGGCCCAAGTCCTGTGGCATATCAGAGGAGGTGATGTCCTGACTACTGGGCATTAGGTGAAGATTTTTTAAAGACATTGTCACTTTGCCCATATCGGGCAAAGTTATCATATATTTTTAAATATGTATTGTGTTACAATAGCCTATTAATTTTAAACAGGAAGCCAACACACCACAATTTACAGAATCAGACAGAAACCTTTTTTTTTTTTACACAGCACACCCCAGTAGACTATGTTGTCTTTTACATTGTTGTGCCCCATATTACCACAACACACTGATGTGAAGGCAGCTTTGAGGTATTTAGCATTATCTCTTCTTTACATTTTTATGTACCTTCAATTTTCACAATTTTTCAAAAAGGCAAATTTAAAATTGCACATATTTAAGTATATGTAATTTATTAACTTAATGCAGTTTTATATTTTATATTTAGCAGGAATTGTGTAAGATTGTATGCACTAATAATGATTTTATTTCACTTTTATAAGAAATATTATTTTGATACACATTTGTGCAAAGGGATATAGGGATGTGCAAATTCAACACCATCATCTTTTAACTATTCCTCAAATCCTGTGCTTCCAGATATATTTTTTGGGGGGGGTGAGGGAGCTGTTACAATCTTTTTAATGTCTCCTCATCTGCACTGAGGATATAAAGTGGGGGACTTCTGAAAATCTGATGGGAAAATCCTTGCAGCTCCATTATCTATAGCCCTCTTCCTGAAAAAGTGACTTGCACCATGAAACACATATAATTACTTTCTTCAGAACCTGTCATGCATATTGTTTAATGAACAATATCTACTTTTCCTCAAAGGATAGCAAAAACTACATGGCGTCCACCTAAGATGTAAATATATGTATGAAGAGTTAAGAAACAAGAAAGTGGGGGCTATTATTTTCTTTTATGATTTTTTTTTATTATGTACTCAAGTTTCAAAATATGAATTGTTTGAATATGTCTTTAATAAAGCTCTGATGGTATTTTAAACATGTATGCAAATTACTTGAGGTACCTTAAAGTCCAAATTTTTTCATAACTAAGTGATTCTCACACTTACGTGGATGTGGTATGATATTTGATAGATCGCTTCATATAAATACAAATCCCAGCAGCAAAAGTATTAAAATGATACTATTCTTCTAGTAAAGTAGGAAGTGCATTTGCTAAGTGAACCTAGGAATAAATAATCACCTGCAGAATCATCAGTGAAGCCTGTACTCTCAAACCAGTCTTTCAATTCCAGTATGTGAGACCAAATCCAGATGTTAAACTCCTGCGATAATAGTAGCGCCTTGTCAATAAGAGTATCTATCCATAACTAAAATACCAGGTTCTGGTGGACTGACTCTTCATATAAGAAATTAGGCTCAGAACATCTTACCTCGGCAATATGGAACAGGGGTGCTCCACAAACCATTGCTTCGACATTGTGCTTGATAGGAACTCTGAAGCACATAGCCTAGATTACATGTAAAGTTAACAATGTCATTTAAGTTAAATTCACTTCCATTGGTAATTCCATGGGCAGGATTTCCAGGGTGACCGCAAGTTATAGCTGTAAAAAGAAAAAAAAACCTCTCAAATCCCAGTAGGTTACAGCCATTCATTAAGCTTTCATACTTTTAGCACTCACTGAAATTGTACACTATCGGTTTATGTCCTGACCTGCAGGTGAAATTCGACTTCAGTTCCTTGTAGCAAAGCAAGTAAGGTTCAGGAGTGAAGATCTATCATTCACATATTTTGATATCAGTGATGCCATGTGATTTTAGCACATTATAATTTATTACACATACAATTTTGGAATATACTGGTGAATAATGTGGTTTGATATGTACAATAAATAAAATAAAACATATGGGCTCATTTATGTTTTTGCATATTAATTCCATTGTAGTCAACCAAACACTATACAACGTGAGGCTGCTAATGATTTTTAATAGATTCTTAAGTTGACAGAATAATGAGGACTGATGCAGTTTTTTTTTCAAGAAGACGCTTGAAGGTTAAATACTGTTCTAACTTGTCAAATATTAAAATAATGAAAAAAGTTTTCCAAGAAAGAGTTAAATTAATTTCACTTACTCGCAGAAGGATGCTGCTCAGTGATTTACAGTCTTCAGCCAATTAAATTCTGCTGGAGAACAGAGGATGATTTTAGGTGTCAGACCTATCTTTGATTGACTGTTAGTTTAGGGAAGAGCTGCCAAACATATCTATTCAGTTCTGTATGTTTCTATACTAATACATTCCCTAACAACTAACGCATTTCTATGCAGTAGATAAGGGCTCAGATTTCCACAGAAAAATGTAGTAAGCTTAAGGCTGTGCATCACTGGACAGCATTCCTATGTTAGTAACTGGAAATAAATAACTTTCTTCCTTGACAAACTTTTAAACCACATAATTACTATGGAGCATAGATATCACCCCTAATTTGCAATCTATGGCCTCAAAACTATTACTAGCATCCATGGCTATACAACCCTATTACTTCCAATCCAGTAATCAGTGTCATTTGACTTGTCAATTGGCTGTGAGAGAAGTGCTGCTACTACACTGTGCAAAAGTATGGTTAAAAAAAACTGCAAGCAATAATTTAGAGGCATTAAAAATGTAATCTAATTGTAAACAGGTCCTTATCACATTAACAATGAAAAGGTATGGCCCTGTGCAGAAGTTGCAGATGTCAGTACCACACACCAGGCCTAAAGCATTAGACAATTTCCTGAAAGCCCTCTGAGGTCCTTTTGTGCCAACCCTATTAGAGATAGGCTGTTCACAACATGACATTTTTGGAGCATTTTGCCCTTCTACAACTGTGGCTGTAACCTACAGCCTAGAAGGCTGCCAGTAAACCAGGAATCCCAATCCCAGCAATAAAAAAAATGCCTGAAGATTAGTGGAAATTGTTAATAAACATGGAGCTAAGTCTGCTGCCAAAAAACAAAAGTTTCCTGTAATTCTGGTGCTTTTGGTACTTTCATGTAGACACTATCATTAAGTGATCAATTTTAAGTCCTAATAAAGAGGAAAACATATGCTCTGCCTTACTACAACATACTCTACAATTCCTGGTTTAGTAAAGTTTCAAACTGGTGCAAAGCAAATGGAGCATTTGAAAATAGTCCTACAGGAGACAGATTCCTTCTCTGTGTGTGCAAACTATTATTTTTATGTAACAGTATAATGACTGCACTGTACCTTTGTGTAAATTACCCATATGCTGGGGTGATTTTATATTCAACCATTGAACCGATTAATCCCAAGCACTCCCAATTAATTAAAGTCTGTGATAGCTGTATGACCCAAATGAAAATTAGCTCAGGTCTAATTCTCTTAGTTTAGGTGCTGCCTATCCCAATGGGTGTAATAAATGTAACAAATAAGGTTCTGTTGTTTAGCCTTCAAGAGCATAACATTTTCCCACTAATTAACGTGTGATTTCTACATTAATTAATGTTATGTACAGCAATTAGAACAAGTGATTTGACAGTGAAGCAAAATAAAACTCTGCTGACATGGTTAACTCCTCTGTCTTTCACAAAATTCTTATGTTAAATCAGGCTTCTTTTTTTCTCCTTGGCTACACCAGAAAATAGCGCAATCAGGCAACTGCTTCCACATTTCCTATGTGGCTCATATACATGTATATATGCAATCTTATTCAATCAGATTCAGTGAACTTTACTCTTTTCTGAAATTATATCGATTGCTTGAATCTCAAATCTTAAAAAAAGAAAAGTTGAAGTATAAAATGCAGTAGAACAGCAAATGGTACACACAAATACCAATTGAATTCCCTTTCAAACAGCTGAAGATAAAAGCAAATTCCTGCAGTGTGGAACAGTCAAAGATTAAGTGCAGAAAGTAAAAAGCACACATCTGTAAATAAAGTTATTTCTTTTGAAGTTAAGCATAAAGTTCGATAGAGAGTCCAAAATGTAAGTCCTTTGAAAAGTGCGTGTACCCAAGTTGCTTTGTGAGCTATTTTATTTTTTTTAGAAAACAATCAATCAATGATCAGTAGTGAAACCTGGATTTTGTCCAGGATTGCCACAATTCAGATGTGAACTAAAAACTGAGGATAATAGAAATGTCTCATTCTATCCAACCAAAGATAATATTGTTAACGTAAACCTAATAT